GCTACCTCAGACACTTAACTACCTGTATGACCCTGGACAAGTCACGTAACCTGTTTGCCTCAGTTTCTTCAAATGTAAAATGGAGATAACAATAGCATCTATCTCCCAGGTTTATAGTGAGGATTAAATAAATTACATATACCTAGAATGCTTCACAAAACTTAAACATTGGTTATTATTAGAGTCCTTTGATTTATAGCTCAAATATTATTCACAGCAGCAGTCAGTGGTAGCAAGTAGAAACCACTAGTTCTCATTAATCAGGGACAGCTGAACAAAATGTAGTAGTGGAATGTAATGGAATATTGTTACTATGATGGGTAGGAAGAAACCAGAGGAACACGGGAAGACTTACATAAAGGGAAAAAAAGCAAAGAATATAATGACTCCAATATTATAGATGAAAACACCAAAAAACAGCTGAACTTATTGAAATGATCAGCTTTTGTTCCAGACAGCAAAGGATATAACATATCCCTCCTCTCAGAAAAAGCTCATAGGGTCCTGGAGGTATAGTTGAAAGGGAACTCACAGACCATTAAGTCTAATCCCCTCATTTTACAAAAGACAGAACCCAGGCCAGAGAGGTTAAGTGACTTACTTTGGGTCACACAGCAACCAAGTTTTGGGAGACAGGATTTGAACTCGGTTCTTCTTGACTCTTAGCCTAGACTCTATCTGCTGTTACTTTTGGTTGCTTTTTGGGTTAATTATGCTTAAGTGGTTTTTGTTTTCTGGTTCCAAGGGAGGGCTGGGGAAAGTGGGTTAAAAAAAAAAGGCATCAATTTTTTTAAATGGGGGAGAGATAGAAAAGAGCAACCTACATCCTGACAACTGCAGGTATCCTTAGCAGCTTCCCTGAAATCCACAGTCAAGAGCTGAGTACCATCAGTCTGTGTCCTTCTTCCTATCCTCTCCCACAACAGTGTCTGGGAGGAGATCTGAGCCAGGAGAGCGAAGCTCTCTTTATGGAAATCAGCCCTCTGGGAAGCCCGGGGTCAGTCAACAAGGAGAAACATGATCAGACCACGAGATCTACCAGCCGCCCTCATCAGCCTCCACCCTAGCTTGTTTATCCGTCATGCACCAGACCAGAAAGACTTTGTCCCAATGCTGCTGGTGCAATTCCACAGAACAAAAACAAAATCTCCCATTCTGTCTTTCTCTCTGTTTCTTTCTGTCTGTCTCTCTCTCCCTTTCTCTCCTACATCAGACAGTCAGGAGAGAGAAACCCTGAATATGAGGTAACTATGCTACCCTGGCCCTGCCTTTAACAGCAAACCAACATCTGTCCTCTCTGGGCCCAAGACAGTTCTTTTTGGTGAAGCTCCCAAGAGGGGCAAAAGTTGAGAGAGAACAGAAAATTCAGTGTTGAAAAACAGAAAAGCAGCAACAGGTTAATTTCTGCCAAAAACAACCCTCGTGTGGAGAAAACATGCTGCCAAGCACAGACCTAAATTTAAACCAGCCCTGCAGATAACCAGCCAAAAAGCTGACCAACTAAACACCTGGTCCCTCTCTCCCAGCTCAACTAACAGAGCAAAGCTAAATGAAAATGAATATTTTTTTCTTGGAGAGACTTGTTAAACTGAAAGTGGAATATCCAGATGGTGGCTGGCTACAACTGGCTCTAATGTCTGGGCGAGGATTTTAAACAGGACTTGGCCCCTGCAGGTGGCTCCTGAGCTCACATTTCTGAGGGGTCTGAGAACAGCTTTAAAAGATAGGCGAGTCCCCCATCTGCCTAAGATGGTTTAAATGTGGTACTACCCATGTAACTAACTGCCTGGTATCACCTGCCTAGCTCTCAGAAATCTACATACCTAAAAGCTAATAGCCCACGAGGCGAGCAATAACAGAAGTATCAATTTAAAGGCATTACAGTAATTGAATCACGGGAGTTAGATTAGGAAGGGGGATCAGATCAGCAGGTCTAGCCTCCCTCATTTTACAGAAGAGGAAACCAAGTCACAGATAGGGGAAAATGACACCCAAGAACACACAGGGAATAAAACAGGAGAGTCAGAATTCAAACACAGGGCTTCTGACTCCAAATTCTTTCACTTCGTCATAAATGAGGCCACTAAGGAACTTTCCAGTTGCCCTACAGACCAGCCACACCCATCTCATTCAACAGACATTCATTAATCACCTACTGTGTGCAAAGAAAGACCTGTGCAAGGCCCTTCTGCAAAGATGCAAAGTTTACAAAAGACAGTCCAGATTCTCATGGAACGCAGAGACAAATAGAAGGCCAAGAAACAAACACAGATAACTAGAGTACATACTAAGACCTGAAAAGGACATTAGATGGGTGCAGAGATAAAATGGTGCATGACTTCTGAGGGCAAGGTTGTTATTGATTAGAGTTAGGGGCATTCGGGGTAGATTTTAAAGGATGGTCCAAGAATTCAAACACCCGAGGACTCCAAAGAACTTCCCCCTCCTTTTCCTGAAATGAGGTCCTTAACACCATCACTAAGTGATGAGGACAAGGGCATCCAAGTGTTTTTTTTTTTTTTCAATACTGGGTCACATAATCAGAAATCCCTGGGCATGGGCAATTGTTTACAATTGCAGTTCTTAACTATTCTGAGCTTACCTGCTATCATGACACCTGGTGGCAGTCAGTGACATGATGGGAGCACTGGGAAGGAGTTGAGGCCCCCTCCCCTGTAAGTGGCCAGTCGCGTCACGGATGCTAGCTAATTAGGTACAAATATATTTTGCTAAAAATCTCAGTCAGGCCATACCCTACAGTTAACTGGCCAGCACATGGATGCCTGGGAATTTAAGGGGGAGAAAAAAAGGTTCTGCAAATGATCTTTGGCTAACACAAATTAAAAAATCCCATTATAACAAAAGCTCAAAGGACCTTCAAAAGATTTTGCCAAAGTTGTGGTATATGAATGCGATGGAATACTATTGTGCTATAAGAAATGATGAACAGGCTGACTTCAGAAAAACCTGGAAAGACTTGTATCGTCTGATGCCGAGTGAAGTGAGCAGAACCAAGAGAATGTTGTACACAATAATAGACACGTTGTGTGATGACTAATATTGACAATCTTAACCCTTCCTGGCAATACAAGGATCTAAGACATCTCCAGAGGCCTTGTGATGGAAAATGCTATCTACACCCAAAGAAAGAACTATGGAAGCCGAATTGTTATTTTTTTTCTCTTCTGTTGAGTTTTGTTTCCTCTTTCTGATGGTTCCTCCTATTGGTTTTAATTTCTACTTACAACATCAGTAATGTGAAAATGTTTAATATGAATATAAATGTATAGCCTATATCAGATTATGCACCGTCTTGGGGAGGGTGGTGAGGAGGAAGGGGGAGAAAAATTTTAAACTCAAAAGCATATGGAAGTGATTATTGATAAATCAAAATAAATTAATTTAAAAAAAAATTTTGCCAAGATGAGATTCTGTAATAAGGAAGACAATACATGCTAGTTCTGGCCTACTTAAGCATATAAAGGAATGACTCCCTAGTCTTTTTGTACTAAAATCAAAGGAGAAAATCTGAACCCCAATGGGCAGAGAGGGAGAGATCCTGAGTCCCTTTAACCTTGCTCATTTTTCTCCTCTCAGTTAGTAGGTTATTTTGTATATAGTTTATCTAGTGTTTAGGGACTTCAAGGGAAGAAAAAGGCGTGAATGCTAGACTAGATGGATACTTGAGACAAGAGGGTCAAATAACTGTCAGTACATCAACAGGTCAGCTCAGTTCTTTCTCCTCTGCCTACTGATGATCTCCAAAGTAAATAAATAAATAAATGAAAAATAAATTAAAATCAGGCATTTTTCTTAACAATGAAATGGTTTATAAGAATGAAGAACCAGTACTTGTTACAAAAGATCTTATACAGAATTGGTCAATATTAGAATTAAAAAGCCACAAGCTAGAATATAGGAATAGTCTGGCCACACACAGCACCTTTTTCTATAGGAGAGACCTAACCTGCCCAGTGAAGGCTGGTAATCACTCTTTGGAAAATATGACTCACAACCACACAGGGAGAGGCCAGGGCCAGAACAGCATTTAGAGAGGGAAGTAACCTTACAGAATACCTAGTCCAATCCCCTCATATTAGAGAACAGGAAACCAAGGACCTCTTGGACCCCTTCCTAGAGCCTGAAAAATAACCTGCTTCAAGCCAGTCAGCTAATAAGTAACCGAGCTGAGATGAGAAACTGGGTCCTCTGATTACAAATCCAGTACTTTCTCCTCCTATACTGCTCTCCATACTGCTTCCCTTCTCTAGGGCCCTAAACTTACAGTTCTGCTATGTACAGAACCAAGATGAAAGGCCATAGAAGGAATTTGGGTCAACTGCCCATGATAGCCATGTGTCAAAAGAAGAACTGAGAACTCAAATAATCTTTTAAGTATGTTCCCAGCTCTAAAATTCCACCACCCTAACCTGTCTACATAGTTACTCTGTTTAACATATTTGGTGGAAAAATCAAATTGAACAGAATCTCAATCTCTCACCCATAGGGGCATCTGGATCCAAGATATGCAGAAACTTTGGACTATAACGGAATGGTAAAATGTATCCAGTAGGAGGCAGTATAGTAGAAAAAACACTGGTCTTAGACTCCAGAGACTTGGGTTTATAACTCAGATCATAGGATTTAAGGCAGAAAGGGGCCCTGGCAATTAAAATCAACAATTTAACTTTACAGATGATGACACTGAGACCCACAGAAGTCAAAGGACTAGCCCTGGATCAAAAAGGGAGTAAGCAGAATTAAAATTCAAACCCGAGCTCTCTAAATCAACATTTCTTCTACATCGTGCTACCTCTTTGTAATACTTCTTAACTAGTTGTCTAAATAAGTGGTCACTTCAACTCTCTGGGCCTCAGTTTCCTTACCTGCAAATTGGAGATAACAATATTTGCCCTACCTCCCCTGTAGGTTTGTTATGAAAGGAGAGTACTCTATAAACATGAGGTGCCACTATTATTGTTACCAGATCAAAAGGATACGCCATTCCTCGGATACGTTTGATTTTGCCAGGGTCTGTGAGCTGAATGGGTTTCAACAGCTTCCTCACAGGACAAGAGAAGAAGACTTCCCCTCCCCCTCCTGGGGGCATTCCTCTTCGGACAATCTGAATGCAATGTAGTAGGAAGAAGAGGAAAAATAAGGAAATACATTAATAGGAGAAAGGGGGGGAGGACTTTTTGGGGGGGGGCGCTTTTTTTTTTTTGGGCGAGGCAATCAGGGTTAAGTGACTTGCCCAGGGTCACACAGCCAGTAAGTGTCAAGTGTCTGAGGCCAGAGGAGAAAGACTTTTTAATCTTAAAGAAAGAGAAGATGGGAAGGGGGACGGGGGAAGGATGATAGGACTGGACTTGGTCTGCTTGGCCCCAGGGGGCAGAAGTAGGAACAAGGAGTAGAAGTTACAGAGAAGCAAACAGGCTCAATGTAAAGATAATCAGAGTGAGATCCAAAGGTACAATGGTGAGCTGTCTCCCCTTTAGTAGAGATTGTCAAGCAAAGGCCGGGTGAAGATCTGTTAAGTCCACGTAGGAAGGGATTCAACTCAGATACGTCTGGATGCTATGGCCTCTGAGGACCCTTCCAAATGACATTCTGGGAGAGTCAATCTCGGGACCGGACCACAGAAGGACAGGGACAAACAGCAGCCAACCGAGGGCAGATAACATAAGAAAAGTACGTAGGCTGGAGACCATGTCATGAGATTCATTTAACAAACTGGGGACATCTAACCTTGGAAAGACTTAAGCAGGGGGATGGGAACCAGGGAAGCTGTATTCAGATACCTGAAGAGGAGAAGGCTAGAGCCAGCCAAGTCTTTCTTTCCCTCCAAGCTGTTTTCCTGGCCCTCCTGAATCTTCCTATAATGTCCCTTTCATCTCTTCCCCTCATCCTTCCTTTCAGCTCTCTCTTAGGTATATTCCTCCACAGGCTATTTAGAGGAAGGAAGCATCTTTTCCTACCCCTTGTAGTTATATTCCCTTCCATCAGTATAGTACCTGGCATACAGTAAGTACATAATAAATACCTGTTGACTTGGCAGTCATATGGAGGAGAAACTAAAAGTATTTATGCTTGACCATAGAGCAGTCAGGTAGAAGATGCACAGAGACAGAATGATGCTAATGATAAAGGAAAACCTCCCATCAAGTAGAGCTGTTCGAAAGTAGTCTATACTGCCTCAAGAGGCACTGGGTTCCCCATCATTGGGGCTGTTTCCAAACAGAGGCTGGATGACAAGCTGAAAGAAAGGGAAGTAATGAAGTTTGACGTGCCTTCCAACTCTGAAATTCCCTGATCTATCATTATTATTACCTTAAAAAGTCAAGGGATCTTTCCCCTAAATTTTATTTTTAAGAAAACATAATAGCTTACTTCATTATCCCAAATAAATTGATCATAAGAGGGGAAAACCCACTTGAATCAAGAATGAAGGGAAACTGATTAAGACATCATGACTGATCGAAATAGGACAATACATTCAAGAAACGTTCCCTGAGTAGATGAAGACAAATTTAACAAGGAAGGAGGACCCAGAGCTCACAGTTTCTTACCTTAAGCTCGAAAGATTCACCATCAATTCCAAATTGTTTCAATAAAGGGAGGGCTGTTGCCTTCAGAACATCTACCTGTAAAGGGATTTTTAAGAGAATGTTCCATTAGGAAAAGGAGATAAGGAAGAATGAAACATGATCTAATAAATATGCTTGAACAAAAAATAGGCAGTTTCTCATTGCTTACTATGTGCTAGGTACTGTGCTGAGGGCTGGGAATAGATATGAAGACAGGCAGACAGACACACAAACACATAGAAACAGCATGGTGTAAATGATGGAGAGCCAGCCTCAAAAGCCAAGGAGACTTGGGTTGAAGTCTTGCCTCTGCCATTTATTAGCTCTGTAACCATTTAACCTCCATCTTGGTAGGACTCCCCAGAGTCTGGTCCACTGGCATAGCCTCCTAGTACCTAAGATCACATCAAGGTCACCAAGAGTTCTCAGAGTAAGGTTAAGTTCCAAGAGGATGGGAACCAAGCCTTACCGAGATTTTATTATTCCCCCTGGTGCCTTATCCAGTAAGCTGTATATGCTGGCTGAATAAACAATTCAAATTTCTATAGAGGTTCAAGATTTGAAAAGCCCACTCTTCACAGCAGTACCTCTAAAAGTTCCAAGTCCATATTGAGCAGCTGGGGAAACTGAGTCTCAGAGAAGTGAAGTAACTTGCCTTTAATCACTCTGCTAAATCGGTTAAATGAGAAGGAATAAATAAAGAGCAATTCACATAATGCCAAGAGATCCTGAGTAAGGTCCCACATGTGTGTGGTGAACCCCCATGGAGGATTTATGGGAAGACATGAACAAGAGACACACAGGATGGACAGGCTTCCTGGAGGAGGTGATTTCTGAGTGGAGTTTTAGAGGACAGACAGGAGCTTAGCAGGTAAAAAACTAACTTAGCAGGAATCTAATCTAGCCTCAGGGCAGCTAGGTGGTACAGTGGCTACAGTGCTGGACCTAGAGTCAGGAAGACCTGAGTTCAAATCTGGCCTCAGACACTTACTAGCTGTGTGACCCTGAACAAGTCACTTAATCCTGTTTACCTCAGTTTCCTCATGTGTAAAATGAGCTGGAGAAGGAAACGGCAAACCTCTCCAGTATCTTTGCCAAGAAAACCCCATGGACAGTATGGTCCACAGGGTCACGAAGAGTCAGATACGAGTGAAGAGCAATGACACTATCTTCATACAACCTCCCACTTTACAGATAACAAGACAGAGAAGTCCAGGATCTGAACTCATGTCCTCTGATTCCAATTCCAGTGTTCTTTCCAGCGAACCACACACTGCCTCATCTCGTGTACCCAAGAAAGTCAAAGTAAAATAATACTAAATAATTTCAAGAGGGAGAGAATGCTAATAACTAGCACTAGGGAGAGGCTACAAATAGGAGGGGGCACCTGAAGGAAGCTAAGGATTCTACGAGGCAGAGAAGAGGAAGGAGTGTATGCTAGGTAAGGCATGCCAGGGACAGCTCATGCAAAGGCACGGTGATGGGAAAGGGGATGCCAAGTATAGGGAACGGTTGGACCTGAGTTTAAATCCTGCTTCTGGCACTCAGTAGCTCTATGACACTGGACAAGTCACTCAAACTCTACACCCCTCAGACAATTCCCAAGAATTGACTATAGAGTCACAGACAAGGCAATCTGTGTCAGTGGAAGGAATTACAGAATTCCATACTGAGAAAAACTATAAATTCTTTCAGTGTTTGCATAGCCATCTCCAGTCAACCTGATCTATATCTCACCACTGGACCCAGATGGCTCCGGAGAAGAAAGTGAGGCTGGTGACTTTGCACAGCCCTCCCTCACTTAAATCCAATTCACTTGCATGTCATGGCATTGCCTCCCTGATGTCTTGGTGCTCTTCGAGAACAAAGGACAAACAGTGACAACGTTAATAAGGTTAAACCAAAAAAAATTTTATCTGAGGAAAACAAAAAAAAAAAATTTCAAAGGTGGTACAAATGGAGTAATTTTGTTACTCCCTTGTCAAATGTCCTATTCACTTAAAAAAAGCCCTCTAGCAGAAGTTCACAACTTCAAATTCTTTCTATCCTGAAATGTTTTTGGCTACTGATGACTGTTAAATTCATAAGAATGAATAATTTTTAAAAGATATCTAACTCCAAAAACTATCAGCACACAAGTGTTTCCAAATCTCAGAAACTCCTTTCCACTTAAAAAAATATATATATACATATATAATATGTTTTGCTTCTCCGGGACACTTTGGGAAATTTCCATGGGATGGGAATAAGAAAGGTCTGTCCATGTCTGAGTATGGGACAGGCAGTACTAGACAGTGACTGGCAGCCCAGCACAGGCTCTAGTCTCCTCTCCTCCTCCTCCTCTGCCCAGTGATCAATGAGGGCAACTTAGAACACTTAGGAAGAACACAGCATTTTAAAGATGGAGAGGGGCCTTAAGAGCTATCTATTCTAGCCTTCTCATTTTACCGATAAGAAACCTGAGATCAAGCCAAGAGAGAAGTGACTCACCCAAAGTCACACAGGCAGTAAGGGACCACACCAGGATTTGACCTCACTTCCTATTTTCCAATCCAGCTCTTTCCTCTACTTCCCAGCTGTCCACCTGCATTGAAGGTCTATAGCAACCACAACAAGTTACCAAAATGACTGGTTTTCCTGTCCAGGTTCACCGAGCTATGCAGAACAAAATGGCCTCAAAGGAAAACAAAATATACTCTGTTTCCTAGGAAATTTACCTTCCATGGGTACCTTCCTTTAATTCTAATTTTTTTCCTTTCATCCTGTATAAATATATACACATGAAAAATAAATATATACATATAAAATGTATTTTATATAAAACATTTATATAACTGTATATGTATTAAATACATGTATATAAATATATATACTTATACACATACATATATACATTTACATGTATTGTGTGTGTGCATATGTATGAAAACAAGTTTGCTTTTGTATATGTTTGTTTGTTTTCTCCCCCCTTTAGATTGAAAGCCCTTTGAGGGCAAGGACTGTCTTTTACCATTCTGTATCCCCAACAACTTAGTACAATGCCTGGCACATAGTCGGCAATTAATAAATGTTTATTGACTGGTTGACTGATTGAAAAAGAAAACAACTGCATATGATTAAGCTCTTGATACTCACTGAAGGGTCGACCTGGTCATTGGTTATGCCTCGGAGAACTACTCTTAAAGGGTGCTTCATGAAGGGGGCCAGGCAAAGAAGACTCTCCAGGTAGTACCCAATGCTCCGATGGGCGCTGCAGTCGTGTTCCACTGACCCACCATACAGGAGCCCAGGCTGATAATACAAGGTAGTTCCTTAAACCAAGGGAGAGAGGGAGAAATGGTGAGTCAGTTCAAACATCAGTCTCAGGTCACTGAGGAAAGGAAGAGTAATAATAACTCGCACTGATAACATGCTTGTCGGCTTAAAAAGTGCTTTCCTCATGATGACGACAAAGGGAGGTAAATCCAGGGAGAAGCCTGACTATAAGAAAATGATGACACAGCAAGGGAATGCTTTGGAGTCAAAGGAGTTGGGTTCGAATGCCAGCTTTGTTACTTAGTCCCTGTGTGGCCTTGGGCATGTGGCTAAATGTCTCTGGGCCTTAGGTTCTTCATGTGAAGAGTAAGGAGACTGGACTACATGATCTCTAAAGGCCCTTCTGGCTCTAAACCTATGATTTCAATGAATAATACATGTTGTCTCCCCCTATTACAACATAAGTTCCTTAACCGCAAGGACTCTCTTGCCTTTCTACTTGTAACCTCAGTACTTTGCACACAGTAAGAGTTTAATATAATTTATTATGTTCATATGTTACATGTAATATATTAATATAATTTAATAATAAGTGCTTTTTAAATTAAGTAATTTATTTCACAATAGCAAATCACATCAATACAGTAATTTAGGGTTACAGTTTCCTCAGCTGTAAAACCAGATTTAAAAAGTTAAAAAAAAAAAACAAAACAAAACACCGTGAAATAGGTGGCACACCATTATTAACCCCACTTTACAGAACAGGACAGCGCGTCTCAGAGAGGTGAAGTGACTTCTCATTATAGAAGCGTCAGGGCTCGTTTAGGATAAACATTTCACTTAAGAGTCGGAATAGCTGTGTTTGGGTCCTCCTTTTTCATATGTTAACTGTGACCCTGGGCAAGTCTGAAAAATGAAAATAATACTTTAACACTCCCTACCTCATAGAGAGCTGGCAAGAACAGTACTTCATAAACCCCATTTTACAGATGAAGAAACTGAGGCATAGACCCCATAGCTAGTGTCAGAACTAGGCCCCTTGATTTCAAGCCCAGGGCTCTTTCCAGTCTACAGCTCATTCCAAAAACTGACTCACTACTATCAAGCTCTGAGGGTCACAAGCAGCCCTCACTGAAATTTAATACCCAGTACCAACACTCAACTTCTCTTCAAGCCACCTGCATCCCTGAAGTCACACAAGGGTACAAGACAGATAGCAGATGAGGTTCCCTCTTCCCCACCTGGCACACACACTCTCACACTGTGTGACTGTTGTTCTCTCCCAGCTAGCGGCCTTCTTAAACCCCCAACCACTTAGCTGGCAAGCTTGTCATAGAAAACAGGTAGTCACAAAGACACAATTGCATAAGCCATTTGTACCACAGAGAGATAAACAAAAAGGAAGGATTCAATGAGAAAGAATTCTCCTTTACTGAGGTCCGTGATAGTGGCCAGGGGAGGCCAAATAGAGATAAGGCAGAGAAATATTACTAGGAAGGGGGTTGTCAAACTAGTTGATCAGTAGGCAGTATGATATAGTAGGAGAAACACTGGCTCCAGAGTCAAGAAAAACAAATTTCAAATCCCACCTCCAATACAGACTACCTGTACCCCCTGGGTCAAGTCACTTCCCTTCCTGGGCCTCAGTTCCTTCGTCTGTACAATGGCATGATCAGACTAGATGGCCGCTGAGAACCTTCCAGCTCTAATGTGATGACCCTATGATTCTAAGGTCCCTTTCAACTCTAACCCTATAACCCTGAGGTCCTGTCCTCAAGGAGCTTCCAGTCTAACTGGAGAAAAAAAGTCACAGAGACATCAAAACAGAGTAGGTGATAATTAAGAAGAGTGTTAAGTGCTTTAGGAGTTCATAAAGTGAAATTTTTTGAAGGTATGAAATTTGTTACAAGGGTTTTATTGGGTAGATTTGGGAGAAAAAAGGGGGCTGCTAAAAAGGTTGATAAGAAAGAAAAGTTGGTCACGGAAGCATTGTTTTTTAAATGCAGAGAAAAGAACAAAAGAAAACATAGAGAAGCAAGGCATCCATGAGTTATATGTTGAATTTATTATATACCGAAGAGGAAATGCAAACAGTATCTAATTTGTTGTTCAGCTGTTTCAGACTCTTCTGACCCCATTTGGAGTCTTCTTGGCAAAAGATACTGGAATGGTTTGTCATTTCCTTCTTTAGCTTGTTTTACAGATGAGGAAACTGAGGCAAACAGGGTTAAGTGATTCGTCCAGGGTCACACAACTAGTAAGTGTCTAAGGCCATATTTGAACTCAGGAAGAGGAGTCTTCCTGACTTCAGGCCTGGCACTCTACCTACTGTGCCACCTATCTGCCCCTGGTTGTAACAGAGATTTGCTCTTACATGTATCTTTTCATGCTCTAATTTTGTATATGGAAATGCTAATTTTATTTGTTTTTCATTTGTTATTTGAATTATTAAATTCAAATTGTATCCTGAATTGTTAAATACAGAATAAATCATAATAATAAAAAAGGAGGAGAGAGGGAAAGGAGTTCGTAAGAGGACACAACCACTGCCCAATGTCCTGAGGGTACATGTCATAGAAAGGGTGGGATCTGAGCTAGGTCTTAAAGCATGGGCAATTTCTCTCTACTGAATCTCAAAGCTAGAAAGGACCTTCAGCAATCATGTGATCTTCATCTGTAAAAATGAATGACCTCCAAGCTCTCTCTGGCTCCCTTGATTCTGTCAGCCTTGAGTGGAAGAGGACATTCCGGGAAAGGAGACTAAAATATGCAAGTCTGGTTCAGAGGTCAAGGAATGGATCAATGTGACCAAAGTTGTTTGTATAGTGAAGTAAGAAGAAATACAATTAGAAAGAACCAGATTGTGGACAGCCTCAAACTTCAGGCTAAGAAAACTAGATATTATCCCCAAAGCAAGGGGGATGTACCATGATCTTGAGCCAACCTGTGACATGATTTAAAAACCACGTGAAATGAATCATTTGCCACTGGAGACTACTGTAAACACGCAAGAATGAGGGATCTAGGATCTATCCATCTATGCAGTAGGAATGGAAGGAAGGAACTGAGTTGAGAGATATTACAAAGGAAGCAACTCTAGGATTTCATTATATATCAGGGATTAGAAGGTAGAGGTGGGACAGGAGGGAAGAGACTGATTCTAGGCCTTTGAGAGAATGCCAACATCACTGACAAAAATAGATAAATTAGGAGCAGCTAGGTGGCGCAGTGGATAGAGCACTGGCCCTGGAGTCAGGAGGACCTGAGTTCAAATCCAGCCTCAGACACATAACACTCACTAGCTGTGTGACCCTGGGCAAGTCACTTAACCCCAATCACCTCACCAAAAAAAAAAAAAAAAAAAAAAGATGAAGAAGGGAGGGCATTAAGTTCTGTTTTAGAAATGCTGAAATTGAAGTGATAATGGGACATTCAGTGGAAATGTCAAGAAGACAATTAAAGATATAGAATTTAATTAAAAATATAGACTTTAAGAGTCCCAATACAATGTTAAGTTCCAGAGGACAGAGACTGTATTTTTGTTGCTGTTGTTGTCCTTGAATCCCCAGCACTTAGTAAATATAGTAGACTTAATAAATGCCTATTGAGTTGAGTTGAGAGAGAAATCAGGGATGGAGCTTCAGTGTAAAGAGGAGATAGGAAAAAGAAGGAAAAAGGAAGGCTAAGAACCAAGCCTTAGGAAATACCAGGTAAGAGCATGGAGAAAGGAGTAAGCTAGGGGACAGGAGAAACAATCAAGGAGGTAGAGAATATAATATCAGGGAAGCAACTGGAAAAGTTTCTACCTAGTCCAACTGGTTCCTGTTTCATTGACCAAACATTGATCGAGCACCTATCACGCTGGGCACTATGCTAAGTCCAGAGAAAGAAAGCCACAAAGTTAACAGACCTTGGCCTCAAGAAGCTTATATTAACTTCAGAGCATTCTGCACAGTTGGCCGATCTCTGCTTCAAGATTTCCACTAATGGGGATCCCACTATGTCCTAGGGTAATTAAACAGATATTGCCATCACTTCAACTTTTAGGAAGCTTTTCCTTACTAAATCAGCCCCTCTCTAACTTGTACCACTGTTCCTAGTTCTGCCCTCTGGGATAAAGAAGAACAAATTTAATCCCATATGGAGTCAAGACCCAGTTTAAGAAGCGCTGAAGGGGCAGCGAGTGGAAAAAGCTTAAGAAGCCCTGTTCTATATGACAGTACTTCAAATTTAAAGAAGGAAGGTGTGTTTAACAGTGTCAAATACTGTTGAAATACTAAGAAAAATCCCGTGTGTGTGTTGAATCAACTACACACTGTTTCAACAAAGGCATGGGACCTCTGGAACCCCCAGGCCCCTTCTGACCCTCAGCTTAATTTCATTCTAGCCCCGATGGATCTAGCCCACATCGGGAAATGAAACACATAGAAAAGCTTTTAGGAGCAATATCCAAAACCGTCACCAGATGGCCTCTTCCCACTACAAAATGAGATGCTGATATCACTAGCTACCTATTTTTTCAGAGAGACCAGGTTAAGTTTCACTCTTGAAAAATAAGGGAAAAAAAGGACTCAAAAATAAATACATAAATAAATAAATGAACAAGTAAAAGGAAAGGACTTCAAGAATGCTCATGCTTCCAAATTTTAGGCAAGAATCAAAATTTTTTGTTATTTATTTCTCTAATAAAATATTTATTTTTCAAATAAAATTAGGCAATATTTAAGCATTCAAAAAAAGAGTAAGCACTGTACATACCCTTTGATCCAGCAATACCACTACTAAATCTGTATCCCAGAGAGATCATAAAAAAAGGAAAAGGCCCCATATGCACAAAAATATTTATAGCAGCTCTTTTTGTGGTGGCCAAGAATTGGGAATTAAGGGAATGCCCATTAATTGGGGAATGACTGAACAAGCTGCAGAATATGAATGCAATGGAATACTACTGTGCTATAAGAAATGAGGAGCAGGCAGATTTCAGAAAACCTGGAAAGACTTGTATGAACTGATGCTGAGTAAAGTGAGCAGAACCAGGAGAACATTGTACACGGTAACAGCAAAATTATATGATGACTAACTTTGACACTCATCTCTTCTTAGCAATGTAAGATCTAAGACAATTCTAAAAAAGACTCATGATGGAAAATGCTATTCACATCCAGAAAAAGAACTATGGAATCTGAATGCAGATCGAAGCATACTATTTTTACCTTTTTTTTTGTTTTTTGTTTCTTGTGGTTTTTCCCTTATGTTCTGATTCTTCTTTCACAACATTACTAATGTAGAAATATGTTTCAGATGATAGTACATGTATAACCTATATCAGATTGCTTGATGTTCTGGGGAGAGGGGAGAGGAGGCAGAAAATTTTGGAACTCAAAATCTTAGAAAAATGAATGTTGGACACTATCTTTACCTGTAATTGAAAAAAATAAAATACTATTAAGTGGGGGGGGGTAGGGGGAGAAAAAAAGAAAAGAAAAAGAACAAGCAACTTCTCCTTTCTCACAGAACAAAAGTATCCATTTTGGTGAGAAGGTCAAGGTGTCAATTTGATTAATTATAGATTTATACAAACATTTTAGGAAAGACACTGATAAACAGGAGAGAACCCAGGAGAATAAACAAGGATGATGATCAGCTGGAGAACTAAACCGATTTTATTTAATTTGGGCAGCTAGGTGGTCTAATGGACAGAGTATCAGATTTGGAGTCAGTAGGACTTAAGTTTGAATATTACTACAGACACTAGCTTAGCTGTTTGACCCTGGGCTAAGTCAATTCTCAGCCTCAGTTTCCTCATCTGTAAAAAGAGGATAATAATAACACCTATCTCACAGGGTGGTTGTAAGGAGTGTGTGTGTGTGTGTATAGAAAAACAGCATATAGAGTATTTTGCAAATCTTAAAGCACTACAGATACAAACCACAGGCAGAAAACTGGGGAAGGGAAGGAAGAGAGGAAAAGTTGTTAATTAAATCTGTCAAAGTATGTGTACAGATCTCATTCTGCTTAGCCTCATGACTGAACTAGGAGCAACAAGTAGAAATTTCAGAGACAGAATTCAGTTCAATGTAAGAAAAAAAATTCCTAATAATTAGAGAAGGGCAGCTAGGTGGGTGCCGCACCTGAAGTCAGGAAGACTCATCTTCCTGAGTTCAAATCTGGCCTCAGACACTTACTAGCTGTGTGACCCTGGGTGAGTCACTTAACCCTGTTTGCCTCAGTTTCCTCATCTGTAAAATGACCTGGAGAAGAAAATGGCAAACCACTCCAGTTTATTTGCCAAGAAAACCCCAAATGGGGTCACGAAAGGTCAGCCACAATTGACCAACATCAACAAAGCCTTTAAGTATGGGCCTAGTGATGGACTCTGTATAGTCATCCAAGGACCAGTCTGGTTAAATTCAGAAGGATTCCTCACTAGATTGGCCCCAGAGAGACAAGGTTTTCGGCCACTGGAACTCTTGAGGACCATCTACTTAGTCACAGAAGTTCATAACCAGATTACAGAGGGGCGAAGTTTTTTGTTTTGTTTTATTTTTGCCATAGCAACTCACAAAGACTAGAGTATATCAGGGTTTGTTTTGAGAGAAAGAGTGGTATACCAGATGAGGTGCTGGATTACCCACACTAATAAAATCATGTACCCTTTAAATACTGAAAGGGGGGAAGGTGAGGAAACTAGCATTTACTAAGCACCTACTACGTGCCAGGCACTGTGCTGAGTACTAGAGAGACAGAGATTTAATACACACACACACCCTCTTTTGCCCCCAAAGTCCTTGGCACTGTCAAATGCTTCAACATCAGAAAATTATGTGATTTTATCTGTGGAAATGACACCAAAGAAGAGGCATAACCATCTGTTTTGCTACTGCACCCTATGGACCATGGGACCTTTCTATTTGACTCAAAGCTGAAACCTGCAAATGTGCTGTTTCCTTTATCAGAAGGTGAGCTCTTTGAGAGCAGAGGCTGTGTTACTTTTCTGTCTCTCCAACTTGCTTAACAGAGTACTTTGTACATAGTGCTAAATAAACACTTTTTTCATTCATTCATTCAACTCCATTTACTCGTTCATATATACATTGCTCAGGTGCTAACACTTACATAAAGCCTTTTCATATCCTCTAAGCTGTCTCTATTAGCGCATTTTAATTCTGAAAATTGTGTTCTATAACACTATATATACTCTCTATTTTTTTGTGTACATGTTGATAGCTCCCAGTAGAATGTAAGCTTCCTGAGGACAGGAACTGTGCTTTTTTTTTTTTTTTGGTCTGCATCCCGAGCGCCTAACACACAGTGGATGCTTCAGACATTTGCCTGATAGGACTAAGTTATACAAAGGTATATAGTTCAACTAGATCATATGAATTAATGCTTCCATTTTTGGAAGAAGGATGCTCATAAAAAAAAAAAAATGAACGGCCTATTCTTAACCAAATCAATACCTCCTTACTTTAAGCAAAAGACTTGAGAAGAAAAGAAAATGTGCAGAGTTTCCTAACTATACTGAATCACCAATGGAATCAGCAAAGGGCATAGAAGTTACTTATGTGGGCTAAAAGCCTGTTAAAACAAGGCAGGGCAGAATGAAGATCCTGAGTGCATGTAAATTGACGAGTCTCTAACCATGTCGCAACCCTTAAAATATGAGTTTATTTTCTTAAGAGTAGTTGAAGAGCCAGAAAATTCAGTTTTCCTTATTTGTGGGTCTATGTGTAGACGGGAGGGACTTATTCTTGATATGGGATTTTCACATAGCTTAGCTTCTTCTAGGAAGGTTCAGGCCACTTACTCTAATCTGGGCCTTTGAGGAAAATATTTGGACAATTGGTCCTCAGATGAGAGAGGATCACTACAGCAGATTACTTGCGGGAGAGCAATCGACACCTGAGGATGATAGCATAGAAGAGGGGAGCACCAACTTACCTGTTTGATTTATTTCAATTCGAGAGCCATTGGTTATTTTATCTAAAAGCCGTACAAAACTGGCTTCAAAATCTACAGGAAAAAAAGACAAAAAAAAGAAATAAATCTATTTATTCAATGAACATTAATTTAACATTAACATTAAATTTAGTCCTTGAACATTTGTTAAAAAACCTACTATGTGCCAAGCACCATGCTAGGCTCTAAGATTAGATACACAAAGGCAGCTGATAGAATGCTGGACCTGGAGTCAGAAAAATGTGAATTCAAATCTGACCCCTGGGCACATCATTTAACCTGTTTGCCTCAGTTTCTTCATCTATAAGATAATAATAGCACCTACCTTCCAGGGTTGTTGTGAGGATCAAAAGAGATACTTGGAAAGCACTTAGCAAGCACAGTGCCTGGGACATAGTGGGAGCTATATAAATGCTTATTCCCTTCCCTCCCCCCAAACATTAAATTAATTAATTAATAATAACTCTGTGACTTTGGGCAAGCCAGTCATCTCTACAACGGACAGCACTGGACCATAGGACCTCCACAATCCCTTTTAACATGTGATGAGTGACAGTCTCCTAGGATGATCAGCATTTTTGGAAACTGAATTTCTGATCCAAGCTCTGCAAGCCTGGGAAAAAATGCTGCTTATCTTCACTAAACCTCAGCCTGCCTCAAAAGGGAGCCATACAGAACAATTTAGGTGCCTAAAAGCACTTAGAAGATGGAAAACGATAGCGAGGATATAAATGCACGCTCTCATTAGAAACATTTAGTAAGCAATTAGGTTACTTCCAAACCCTGAGACTCCCTGATTTCCTAAGTAAGGAAGACTCTGCACTGACTTGCCTAAGATGTTTACCACTGGCTCTGTCTCAAGTGATTGACTCTCACCTCTTAACTAGGTTGGCTCCCTAACTGAGGTCATAAAACCATGGGGAAACTGAGGTTCAGGAAAATAAAGGAGTTTGCCCAAAGTCATGAAGGTAGCAAGTATCAGCAGATTGGGAATTATGACAGGGTATTAACTTTTCTAATTTTTTAAAAAATGGACAAAAATCTATCATCTTTTCCCCTACCCCCTCTTTGGGAAAGAAAGAAAAAGCAAAAGGAAACAAAAACCCTTGTACCAACTAAGTACAAAGCAGCTAGATGGCTTAGTGGTTAGAATGTTGGGCCTAGAGTCAGGAAGACCTGAGCTCAAATCTGGCCCCCAATACTTATTTGCTGTGGGACCGTGGACAGGTCACTTAACCCTGTTTGCCTCAGTTCTTCATCTGTAAAATGAGCTGGAGAAGGAAATGGTAAATCACTCCAGTACTTTGCTAAGAAATCCCCAAATGGGGTCAGGAAGAGTCAGACACGACTGAAATAACTGCACACAGCACAATGCTGGCTATATAAATGCTTATTCCCTTCCCCTACCAAATATACATAGTCAAGCAAAGTAAATTCCCTCACTGGCCAAGTCCAAAAAATAAATCTCCTTCTGCACTGTGAGATCATCACTCTTCGTTTGGCTTGTAAAGCCCTTCACAACCTGGCCCCTTTCTAACTTTCCAGTCTTCTAACACTTTACTCTCCTCCATCTACATTATGATGCAGTGACAATGAGGGACCTTCTTGTTGTTCCTTATACACAAGACTCAGTTTTCCAATTCCATGCCTTTTCACTAACCCATTCTCTCTCTGTTTGAAATGTTCTCCCACTGTTTCCTGGCATCCATGGGGATTCATTCCAGGCTCAGCTCAAACCCTCCCCTGTTCTGCCCCTCTCCCCGGTGCCTTCCCTCTGAGATTACCTATATATTTCTTGTATGTACCCAGCTGTTTGCACATTGAAATGTGAGCTCCTTGAAAACAGGGTTTGTTTTTGCCTTGCTTTGTACCCACCCCGAGTTTAGCACAATCCCTGGCACACTTAAATGGTTGCTGAACTGATCTGACTTCATCAAGAGGAGGACAGCATGCTTCCTCATAGGAACTCATTTGCCTCATCAGAGTTCTTAAGTTTTTCAAAGTTGTTGGTCTTTGCAGTGTTGCTGCTGCTGTATAAACTGTTCTGATTCTGCTCACTTCCCTGTGTCAGTTCATGAGTCTTCCCAGGTTTCTCTAAAACCATCCCCTTCCACCATTTCTTACAGCCATAATATTCCATTCCATTCACAGACCATACCCCCAACTAATCATCACAAAAGTTACTGATTTCCTCACCCAAAGTCCTCCTTCAAGGCCTCTTCACATTGGGAAAATACTAATGTTTCCCCAAAGATGACGCCAGCAGAGCATGAGCTCAGGCAAGATCTTTTCTTAAATTGAAAAGGCTTTGAGTAGGACATCCATGGTGACCGACAGTGTGTCTTTTGCTAAGCAAGTTTAGGTAAATTGAGAGAAGCTCATCTGCTAATCAGGCTGGCCACAGACAGGAGGAATTTTCTTGACTGCCAATTCACTTAATCAATTTCCTCATCGGTCAAATGAGAGGTCAGGCTAGATGGCCTCTAAATCCCCAAAGACCCTTTGAGGTTTAAATATATGACCCTATGAACTCTCAGAAACCAGCCTCTTAGTGAAATACTGGAAAGAGTGCCCATAGAGAGGAGAATGGCTAAACAAGTCATGGTACATGAATGTAATGGAATTATCACTGGGCTGTAAGAAATGATGAATGAACACAGAACCATGGGAAGAGCTATAGGAATTGATATAAAGTGAAGTAAGCAGAATCAGGAAAGCCACTTACTATGACTATAGGACAAAGAGAAAGGGTTACAACAAAATATTATAATGCTGCATATTATAATGACCAAGGCTGGCCCAAGAAAAGAGATATGAAACCACCTCCCCCTGCCCGAATTCTCTAGAGATGTGGGGAATGATGGGTGTGGAACACTGCAGATTGTTGAGACTTTTTTTCCAATGTTTTGGATAGTTTTACTGACATCCCCACCCCACCCCCCCACTGCCCATTTTAAATTCATTCTTTTGAGGGATAACTTTTGGGGAAAGGGAGGGTGGAGGAACACAATAAATGGAGGTAATGTGAAAACAAAAGGCTTCAATGGAATTTTTTAGAAAGACCATCTAAAACCACAAAGGGGTTGTGATCTGCATGGGTGGAGGGATCTCCCAAAGTTATAAAGCTAGAGATCCCCGATGGATTAATTTCAGCAGCACCTCATTGCCCCATCTCAATGGAACATGTGACAAAAGAGAAAACAATGGAGATGACAATGGAGAAAAAGATGAGCTAAATTCCTAGCTTCTCATTCTCCAATTTCCAGAAAAAAAGGGAGACCGAGTCAGGGTTCACCCAACAAATCTAGCCTGAGAATCAATCTCTCCCTGTCTATAGCAGAAGTCCTCTCCACTCCACCCTCCAAATGACTCTGGGGGACAGAGTGAGGCTGATGACTTTGCACAGCCCTGCCTAACTTAAATTCAATTTACTTCCAAGTCAAGACATCACCCTCCTGAGGTCATTGGTCTTCTTAGAGAAAGGAGAAGGAACAACTCTTCCATGAAGCAATTCATGGCATTGAGCTGTTTCTAATTTTATGGCAGTCTCACAAGTTCTTAGTGCTGGAAGGGCCCTTTAGGGTTATCTCATCTAACTACCTCATCTGATAAGGAGAAGCCAGATTAAAAAAAAAAAAAAA